CACCTTTACAATCTGGAGTCACGGTGAAGAAAAATTGGAAGAATTTCTCAACCACCTCAACAGCATCCACCCAAATATACAATTCACCATGGAAAAAGAAAGAGAGGGCCAACTCCCGTTCCTAGATGTCATGGTCCTACGCAAAACTGACCTCCGACTGGGACGCAAGGTCTACAGAAAACCCACCCACACAGACAGGTACCTACACAAAAACTCCAACCACCACCCACGGCAAAAAAGAGCCATAGAAGATGACAGCTGTCATCCAACACATTTGGAACTCATGAGATTGAAAAATCTGGGGGGAGGCTGGAGAGGAGATTTGCAGCAGACTTTTTTTTAAAATTTAGGCAACTTTGGGCCTTTGACAGCTAACTTTGTCAGGGGGACTTTATTTATTTAATTAATTACATTTTTTTCCTGCCCAACTGGGTGGCTAATAGAGCAAGATCATAATAACGTAACATGATAATGTTCCATATCCTTCTTTAACAGAAGGGTTTAATTACAATTTTATTCATTTAATGTATTTGTGCCATTTCGTTGTAGGGCATCCTGGGTCACATTTGTGGGGGAGAGGTGGGATATGAATTGAGTAAATAAATAAAAATGGGTTAAAGTACTTCTTCTGAGGCCAACATGCAATCCAATTGCATCTTTTATGGACCCAGTAGTGCATCTACCGTATGACTCCTGCAGCCTCAAGGGCTTCCCCTTCATTTCAATGGGAGAAAGAGATACACTTTGTTATTCCTTTGTGTCTTCATGATACCATCTTTTATTAAAATTCATCAGGTAGAACATTCACACAAGTCCACTGAGTAGGGAAACAATCTTCTGGTGGATATGAAATAGAAAGCAGCACTTTGTGTTGCCTTAAAGAACATGGCAGAAAGCTGAAATTGTAGCAAGTACTGGCTGGGTGCCCCCCCATTTATTTCAGATAGATGCCTAAAAACCTAAAGTTGCAGTTGTTTACCAAATAGCCTCAACCCCTTTTCATTATCAATCAGTTGCAGTGAGAAAGAGAAATCAGGCTGCTAGATATGGATAATATTCTAGTCCTTTTACTGTAGCACTTAAGATGTTGACCATTCAATCAGTTCTAAATCCAGAATCCTCCTGAAATGACATTAGAACACTGGGCTAATGAAAAAGTTCATAACAAAAGTTTACAATAAAGATAATTTGCAGAAATAATGAGTTTTGGATTCATCAACTCTCCATTTGTCTATCTCTTCATAAAGATCACAAAAACGCCAACCAAGCTAGGCAAGGATGAAGAAAGTGGATTTATATATGCTCAACAATCCTTCAACCAAAAGCTTGTGTCACACAATATCCTCCTTGCAGTAAAGATTAGAAGAACAGGAAGCCAAGGAAAGCTGCAAAAAGCAATGGAAAGAGAATATCCTGACCCATTCTGTGCCATCCTAACCAGACGGAAGATTGCCCAGGGCAGATGACTCTGAACTATTTTTCTCACATTTTTCTTACTAACTGCCTTGGCAGAGAGATACCACACAACTGCATAGTAAGTGTTACCTTTCTTTATTATACTTTGAATTATGGTGTTTGCATTGTTATCTTCCTTCCACTTAAATGAGGCAATACTGTGTATAGTCAGAAGCTCCAGGAGTTGAGTGCTTACCCAGATTTGTTTTTTTCCCCCAGAAAGGCTGGGTTTACGTTGCTTGTAATATTTGTGTTTACTTTAGTAGATAAATTCACAGGCTGAGCATTGGTAGAGGAAAACAAGCTTCAAGGCAACATAATACAACTCCCATACAAGATATCCAGAGAGAGAGAGAGAGAGAGAGAGAGAGAGAGACTGCCTCTCAAAATGCAGCAACTGATCACAGGGCCTAAAGCTAATCTCACCCCCCTTTCTGTCTTCCTTGACTCTCCTTCAGGAAAGACTCCAGCTTTATTTTTGTTTTTGTTTTTAACACACAGATATCAAGAAACAATCTTCTGTCAACTAAGTCCCAGTGACAGCCATCACTTGGTTACTCCGGCCTGTCCATGTTCCTTTACCAAGGCTAAGACTGCAGCAGATCTTGCCATAAGGTAAACTCACAAGAACAGCTCTATTTACATAAACGAAATAGCAATGCCAGTAGCAGAATCAGCACATGGTTTCCAACAATTACAAATGAACTTATTGGGACTCACATTAGTATTGACTTTTCAAGTCCCATAAATTCAGTGGATGGAAATTGGAAATGTGGAGCATAATGCGGAGAGCTCAGCCAGGCTGAGATTGTCAGTTGAAAACAATGGAGCTTCCTCATGCACAAGGTGGTACCGAACACATATTACACAAATGCCAGAAAAAGGACCACAGCACCTGCAATTGCACACTGTGAACAAACAGGATGGTGGCCTTCAGGTCTATATTTATAAATAAATATAATGAAAATTGCCTTTCCCCCAAAGAAAGGCAGTGCCAAAGAATGCTCCAACTACCGTACAATTGCACTCACTTCACACGCTAGCAATGTTATGCTCAAAATCCTACAAGGAAAGCTTCAGCAGTATGTGGACCGAGAACTCCCAGGAGTACAAGTTGGATTCCAAAGGGGCAGAGGAACCAGGGACCAAATTGCAAACATGCACTGGATTATGGAGAAAGCCAGAGAGTTCCAGAAAAACATCTACTTCTGCTTCATTGACTACGCAAAAGCCTTTGACTGTGTGGACCACAGCAAACTATGGCAAGCTCTTAAAGAAATGGGAGTGCCTGACCACCTTATCTGTCTCCTGAGAAACCTATATGTGGGACAGGAAGCAAGAGTTAGAACTGGATATGGAACAACGGATTGGTACAAAATTGGGAAAGGAGTACGACAAGACTGTATATTGTCCCCCGGCTTATTTAACTTATATGCAGAATACATCATGGGAAAGGCTGGACTGGAGGAATCCCTTGCCAGAATTAAGATTGCCGGAAGAAATATCAACAACCTCCGATATGCAGATGATACCACTCTGATGGCAGAAAGTGAGGAGGAATTAAAGAACCTTGTAATGAGGGTGAAAGAGGAGAGTGCAAAAACGACCTGAAACTCAACATCAAAAAAAACTAAGATCATGGCCACCGGTCCCATCACCTCCTGGCAAATAGAAGGGGAAGATATGGAGGCAGTGACAGATTTCACTTTCTTGGGCTCTATGATCACTGCAGATGGTGACAGCAGCCACGAAATTAAAAGACGCCTGCTTCTTGGGAGGAAAGCAATGACAAACCTTGACAGCATCTTAAAAAGCAGAGACATCACCTTGCCAACAAAAGTCCGAATAGTCAAAGCTATGGTTTTTCCTGTCGTGATGTATCAAAGTGAGAGCTGGACCATAAAGAAAGCAGATCGCCAAAGAATTGATGCCTTTGAATTGTGGTGCTGGAGGAGGCTCTTGAAAGTCCCCTGGACTGCAAGGAGAACAAACCTATCAATTCTAAAGGAAATCAACCCTGAGTGCTCACTGGAAAGACAGATCCTGAAGCTGAGGCTCCAGTACTTTGGCCATCTCATGAGAAGAGAAGACTCCTTGGAAAAGACCTTGATGTTAGGAAAGTGTGACGGCAAGAGGAGAAGGGGACGACCGAGGATGAGATGGCTGGACAGTGTCTGCGAAGCAACCAACATGAAATTGACACAACTCCGGGAGGCAGTGGAAGATAGGAGGGCCTGGCATGCTCTGGTCCATGGGATCACGAAGAGTCGGACACGACTAAACGACTAAACGACGATAATGAAAATGAATACAAGAAAAATACAGTATTTGTGCAAATAATAAGATGAATAAACAAATGTTGAACAAGTATTGTAAGGTTCTTGCAAACATGGAGGTGAAATGACAAGCAGTGAAAGGTACAATGACAGGTTTATGGGATTGTTTAAATGTTGCTGAAGATATATGTTATTAATGGCTTTAAAAAATAATAGGTGCCTACAGGAAATGTTCCCTATTCAGCTTGCAGCAAGCTCGCTTGAGTCAAGAACAGGAGAGGAGCTCCTGGTCTCTCAGGCTTTATTGCATGGATGGATTGACATCACTTTGTGTGTCTTGTGGCATCACTGATGTCAAAGCTACATTTAATTAGTGCACACAGTCAGTTTAACATCTATTCTAATTTGCCCAGTAAATACGTAATTACATCTACCCAACAAATCCACTACTGCAATTTTGAGCAGAGCTGATTCATGGCCCTTTAGTTGTTCTTTCAGCAGATTTCCTCCTGCTTTCCTAATGCTCCAGAAAAGGAATCTCTATAAAGTCTGTCCTGTTTATTCAAAGTTGGTAGAATTATTAGACCTATTATCCCTTTGATGACATTCCTCCTGTTTCTTTTTTCCTTTCCTGACATCTGATAGAGAACCCATTCTACTCCATCCTAGTCTCTCACGTCTGTAATGAGATCTTACTTTTGCATTTTGCACAATGCAGATACTATGTGCGTATGGCAATAATAAAACTAGGAATTGCATTCCCTTCAAGACTTGCCTTTAAGCTGAGAGTCGAACCCTTTATTGTTTTGGAAGATAAGTACCACTGAATTTAACAAAATTTAGTTCTCAATAAATTAGTTTTGGTGGTGGTGTCACCATGAACTGCTGTCAGACTTATAAAATAACAGGAAATTAACATTAAAAAAATCTGTCTGTGATACCCTTAGAAATGGCTACAATTAAACTAGAGTTGTCAATCATCCATTATTTTGGCATATCATTCATATGTGATGGCTAGTGGCGGGGGCAGCACTTAATTGTTCTTTTTAATGTTTAGGCTGCCCTCTTGAGAGAGATTCAGGTTAAGCATTCAACAGTGGAGAATCTCAGATCCTTGAGAACTTGAAAGGAATCATGCTTAGCTAAATGTGGAAAAATATAGTACAGCCTGGTTAAAAGTTTTACAGCTGGTTTAATGAGTAACCTGCATTTTAATTAGTCAGTTGCTACTGCTCTCCCACTGTGTTATAGTCTCTCTGCTATTATAAATGTCTCCTCTTGCATGTTACTCCCTTACTCACTTGCAGCTTGAACATGCTAGTGGCTTCAGGCAGTCAGCTTTTGCTTGTGCTCCTTGGGATAACATATCTTAGAGAAAGCAGCTCTACGCCGCTCTTTGTACAACAAGGTACGGCTACAATTTTATATTAATTTCTAAGCATTTTTGAAAGATGAAAATATAGATATTCAGATCATGTTGCATAGGTTTGATCTTCTCTCAGATAGCCTGAATCTCATTTCCATGTTCATTCTACTTGACATTGTTAATCAGAATTATTTGTCGGAATAAAGACAGAATCACAAAATTCCTTTCCCTGAGTATGGGAGGGGATGAAGTCCTGTACCCTCCAGCTCACACTCCACTGCAAACTGCCTGATGTGAATCATTGAGTGGGTGCCACCAAAGAAAACTGATTAAGATGCAGCCACTCATACAATATTGAGAAGATCTGAAGTAATACTCTTGTGGTAGTGAGTGCAGTGAAACATATGCCCAGCTATGGCTGGACATATGACAGCCAATATTCCCTTATTGGACAATGGCTGAAATCCTATTGCACAATTGCATGTATGTAAATCCTGAAGATGTTAGGATATTAAGCATTATTTAAACATTTCATATCCTCTCCTGTTAGGTTCTGAGGCTCCCTAGAGATCAATTTTCAATGAGGGAAAGTTTTTGGGAACCTCAGAACAGGGGGAGACTTTAATGCCTGAAAATAACTGCTGGTGGTTCTATCACCTGGATTGAAACCACAGTACTGTAGATATTTTTAGGCACTAAAAATCTTCCTCAGCCCCATCTCAAATCTCCTAAAAGCTTCAGATTCCTAGGGAGCCTTGGGGTCTGTGGAAGGGGGGAATAGAAAAATAAAGAATAATGTCCTTGGTTGATGACCCAATCAAGATGTGCATGTGTGCTGTTACACAACAGGAATTCAGCCAATTATGAAGATTCAGAAGACTCTTTTGGATCTCTTGTAGCTCAACAACAAGAAATGTTTTGTCTCTTTAAAAAATGAATTTACTGTAGTATGAGATTTTGGAGATTAGAATATACTTCATTATGATTCTGGACATAATCTATGAAATTAGCACAAGGTCAATGATTATACATATAGGGTTGTATGCATTTCATCATGTCTTCCTATTCACAAAATGTTCTTTGTTCTAGCAGAGACTTCAGCAAAAGGAAAACATGAAGGCCATTGGGGTCAATTTTCTTTTCCCTTTGCAGCCCAAGTTTGCTCCAGATTTTAGCTGGAAGTGGTTTAGGAGATTATGAGAGAATGGGGGAATTTTGGTGAACTCTATTTCCCTCCCCCTTTTTGTCAATGGAACAGTCAATGGGAGCAATGAGCAGTTATTCAGAACTCTTACAAATGCATCAGTGCAGCCCAGTGTTTCTAATTGATTTATTTTACCATGTGTTTTCATAAATTCGTCCTCTTGACCAATGCCACAGAATTCCTTTTTTTATTATTATTGCTATGCTGAAACAAGCTAATATTTTTACCACATTGAAAATTGCTTGCATGTTCCTGTGATAGACAGCAGTATTCTCTACTTTCCTTAAGTGAGCATTGACTTGACAATACATGAATACTATTTTATAAACAAAACAAAAGGGCAGTTGGACATTTGATAAATGCAAAGCTATATCTGAAATAACATCACAACAGTTTCCACTTTTGGCAATTTTTCTTCTACATAATATTTTCTATCTGTTTCATTTGAGAAATTGGTGTTGTGAGATTTGAACACCAAATGTGTATATATTTGTAAATCTTTGGTAATCAACTATGGAGATAAATAATGCACATCAGACAGATAATGCCATGCATATAGTTACTTCATATGAAGCCCAAATAAAGCCTTCTGAAGGCTTATGGGCTCTGTTTAATTTATAAAAGAGGTAAATCCATCTTAATTTAGCCCATTTTTCTTTGCTAAACCCAAATTGTAAAGATTATTTTTTATAAATTGGCAAGAATCCTATGGCAATTTACTGGTGCATATGTGAAATTATGTAATTTGCCATGGTGAGTGGTTGCTTCACTAATGGGGTAGTAGTTGTGTTATGAAATATGCATGCTTGATTGCACAATAGACACATACTTAGTAAGGTGGTTGGTGCTTCTCGGTTAGGGGTGATATGCTAGGGTGAATTATGTAATTTAACGTGTCTGTAGACAGTCTCCATGGTCATGTGGCCAGCGCAACTAGACACAGAACACCTTTACCTTCCCACCGAGGTCGTACATATTTATCTACTCGCATTTACATGCTTTTGAACTGCGACCGGTAGGTTGGCAGGAGAATTTAACTTACATATGTGACTATTGATTTGGTTTCTGTTTATGCTCTTGTTTATTCTTTCTGGTTTTGCTGTTTACTATGTTTTTCTCATTTCATTAATAGGGACTTCGGTTTAAAAATACATTGAGAGTATTGTATTATAACTGGATTACTTCAGCTCTTTTGAAAGCATGTGAGAAGCTGAAGGCCTATGATACTTTATCACAAAGTAGGGAATGATATCACTCTAATTGCTGCTGCTGCTGCTTCTTTTTGGTTTATACCCATTTTGCTTCTTTATGCTTTTCAGGTTCTAAATGTGGGCAGAAACTCCAGGATGCAAATCCGTGGCACACCTATGGCTATCTCTCTAGGATTGTTGGTGGGAACCAGGTGCAACAAGGCTCACACCCATGGCAGGTGAGCACCTACACACACACACACACACACACACACACACACACAGAAAGATAGCTGTAGTCCACTAGACTGAAGAGCTATCAGGGAGATGAGAAAAATTAGGGTACTGCATGTCTTTGGTTTTCATTTAGAGTTTCTTTTGCTGAACATTGTGTTGTTCTTTGGAAGACCAACAGGGTGGATACTGCACACCAAGAACAGTCACTGTTCTCTTTAGCTTTCCAGAATACTTTTATAATAAATTATATTGTCTCCATAGCAAGAGTCACCATAAGAAAGGTGAACTTGTTGGCTGAATCAGATCTTTTTCTCAAACCAGTAAGCAATAGCAAACAACAAGTGCCTCTGAATAGATTGTCTCCATCCTACCCCCCAAGACGTTTCCTTTGCTGAACCTTTGTACTTACTTGAAAGAAAGGTATTTTTATATTTAAATTGCAAGTGAACTCTAAACTCCACATTAAGATAAAGCAGGAATCCTAACCACGCTTCCTAGAAAACAAACTCCACCTAAATCAGTAGGACTTGTTTTGTCATTTCCCTAAAACACAGCATTAATAATAATAAAAGTTCCAGGAGTTAACCAAGGGGATTTGTTTTGGATGGTATAGTCACTGGAGGTTTACAAAATGCAAAAACTCATTCATTTTTTGTTTATTTGGAAATATAACTCGGACCACTCTAGCTGGTCCCAGTTGACTAGATAGGCGGGATATAAATCTAATTTTAAAAATAAAAAATAAAAATAAACAGCTTATAATTCTGAAAGATAGCTGAGACCATGAGTCAACATGAGATCTCGACAGAGAAGCACACCTCTGTATTTTTCAGAACTTTGCAAATGGCCATGAGGGTCCTTGGTTACTCGGGGACTCTGGGAGCTGACTGCCAAAAAGTAACTTTTCCAAGCTGTAGTATTTGGGCACATGTGGATATGCATGCATGCCCACAGATGCATACACTGTCTGTTTGCTTTCTCTTCCTGCTATACGAGATTCTCTAAGATTTTTAAATGAAGGTCTACATTGACTTGTGAATACTGACATATATAATCTGAGAGAGGAATAGCACACAAATGTAAGTATTATGGAAGCTACATTAATATTCACAGTATACCCTTCCAAAGAAAGAAAATACTTCCTACAATTTTTTTAACATACAAATGTTGACAATCCTAGAAACATTTTTAATCCCCAAAAATTCAGAACTTTACTAGTGAATTTTACCTGAATCCAGCTGTGATCCACTTCCACTTTTGCTGTGTCTCGTGTATCCAGCAAGGTCAGCAAGAGGTTGCCAATGTTCTTCAGAATATAGACCAGAGGTTAGAAAAGTTCAGCCATCTAGATGTTATTGGACTGCACTCACATCAGCCCTACCCAACATCACCATGCTGGGAGATCCAATCCAACAATATCTAGAAGACCATGTTCCCCTTTCCTCAATAGAGATTCTGCTCTCTGCCTCTCTTCTGTAGATGCAGAAAGTTGACACTGTTTCTAAAGTGATGTCTTTTGCATTTTACAGGTCTCCTTGAAAAGAAATAACCACCATTTCTGTGGAGGAACCCTGGTTTCTAGTCAGTGGGTGATCACAGCAGCTCACTGTGTTTTAAGCAGGTATAGAAGGGCAGCTGAACAGAAGTTCTTGTTTCAGATTATTGTTTTCTATTGTATCTCTTGTTTTGCAGTCTTATAAACAAGTGTGCATCACCTTTTTTGATGGAAGTTGAAACATTTTTCTTAAATACTTCTTTGTTAGTCACTTGTATAAGTGTCTGTGTGTGATAGTTATCTATATATGAAATGTTTAAGTACTTCTCTATGATGATATTTCTTCACAGAGTATGGCTTTTGCCATTTTGATTTTTTAAATTTTTCATTCAGTTTTTCTCCTGGTTTTCTAATACTATTCAGGTACCTGCTCAGTTCCCTGACTGTCACTGCTGGAGAACATGATTTGAATCTGAAAGATGAGGAAGAACAGAGTCTGCATGTAAAATCCATCATCAAACATCCAAAGTTTAACCCCAAAAAACCAATGGATTATGACATCGCTCTTCTGAAAATGAATGGCCACTTCAAATATGGTAACACCATAGTCTAATATGATAATCATAGTGACATAATCTGTCTCTCTGCACATTTACCTGAGTTGCTGTGTATCTCTAGAGAATTAGCATATGATGTTGTACAGCATATTCAAAGTATTTCTGCATTACAAAAGCACAAAGCAGTTGTGCTTTCAGTAAGCATGTTTGAAATCAGGCTCATAAAACAAATCTTCAAAGGGGAAGTTAGCTCTAGGTCTGGGACAATCAGAACTTTTGTCCTTTTCTGTCACAACCCAATTAGCTGACTCTCAGGAGGGGAGCTTTTTAGCATCTTCCTGGTCAATTAGGCATTGGTGCTAGGAAAGAGATTCTATGTCTGGCTATAAAAATATTTTAAAAGATATTTTAAAAAGAATAGAGAACAGATATCCATAAACCCACTAATTTAATCTGTGAAATTATTGTTTTTTGCTTTGTGGCTGGGGATGGTCTTATTCAATAGCTTTGGTGCCTATATCCTGTTACAACCATTCCACCCATCCTGGATAAGTTAATTACTAGACTCACATTTTTGCTTCACCATTTCATTAAGTTCCAAAACAGCCCTTCAGAATATTTTGGCACACAGGGACTACAGCCCCATCCAAGCTGTTCTTACCTTTGTCTTTTCTCAGTAACCATAGTGCAGATAACGTGCTCATTTTTTGGGATCCTCTAGCACTGAGTACTTCTACATAAGCTAAATTTCTGTTAGGATTTGTGTGTAGTGTATGTATATTTAAATTTCCATTTTTTAAAGCCAGGATATTCAGTTCGTCAAAAAGAACTGCACTTCTTTATCTATGACTCAAAATGCCAGGAAATGGCCCAATATTGCTGCACATTATTGTGCCCACATTGCCAGCAGGAAAAAGGATACCAAACTTTACATAGCAAAAGGGGCACCCTGAATGTTGATGACAGCAATATCAACAGGCACAATCATCTGCAGGATCCTCTCTTGTGCTCACTGCCATTCATACTAGTTGAAAAACAGCTTTGACAATTGCTTTGTGTCTGGGAGACAAGTGGTTAACTGATGAAGAAAAAAAGTTAACTTCTGGGATTTTTCTTTGCTTGATGTCACTTTGTAAATGGTACCTATAACTGGTGAATATCATTGTATGGTGCATTGAAAAGTTTGTTTGGGTCAAATATGACATTAACACTATTAATTCTGATTTGAAATCTGATCTGTCTTCATGGTAGGTTCAGCAGTCTGGCCAGTATGCCTTCCTGATCCACATGAGAAGTTTGATCCAGGATTTATATGCATCACTTGTGGGTGGGGTCGTTTAAAAGAAAGTAAGCCTTTGATAAAGCATTTTTTTTACAGAAACAAGTTGCAGTTATTCCAAATTTATTTGTGTTAAAGCTATAGTGCAATTTTGTGACATCATCACTTTCATAGCATCATCAATATCTGACTGAGATTAGCCATATAATTAAATGAGAAGAAAATAGCATAACAAACAGGGGGAAAATGCAGACAGTTGCAGAAAAAAGTGACAGAAATAGTGGTTGAAATCCTGTTGCTTAGCATAGTAATTTCCAACTAGAGTAGGTTCATTTGAATCAATAGAACTTATGGAATAATTGGATCACCAATTTCCTCTTGATTCAATGGGTGTACTCTAGATGTGACTTACTACACTAAGTAACAGGATTTCAGCCAGTGACAGTGAACAGACTAAAAAGAGTCTTTTTCTCTTTCCAGTGTATTACTTTCAACTCCAAAACAGTTGCATCCTTGGTTCTTCTAATATTAGTGATACTGAATTTATTCTTAAGGGTATATCTATGGAATATCTATAGATATTAGACAGTGTTGTAAGGGGGCATTCAACAGTTTTCTTCTGTGCTGTTTACTATGCTTTAAGAAAAGGAAGAGATAATACTATTTCATTCTAGGCTGTTTGATGCTGTCACATGTGGATAATTTGCAGTTCATCGTTGTGTCCCTCTATACCAGGAGAAAGGAGCATAGGAATTAAGCAAACAAACAGTCATAATACCGTATTTTTCCATTTATAAGATGACATTGTGTCCCTCTATACCAGAAGAAAGGAGCATAGGAATTAAGCAAACAGTCATAATACTGTATTTTTCCATTTATAAGATGACCCAATGTATAAGAGGACCCCCCCTTTTCTAACCCCAAATTAGAAAATTTGATCCCTGCTTTTCCCTTCCTTTTGCTAAGCCGTGCAGCTTAGCAAAAGGAAGGGGAAAGCAGGGATCAAAGGACTCCCTTTGACCACCACTTTTCCTTGCCTTTTGTGAAGCCATGGAGCTTAGCAAAGAGGAAGGGGAGGCTCCCTTTGGGTAAAGGCTGCACGGTCGTAGACCTTTGATCCTGAAGCCCTTTCATGGCTGTTTTAAAAACTATGCATGGGGCATAGGAAGTGGGTAATTCCAGCTGTGAAAGGGCTGCACGATTGCAGCCCCCTAAGCCTAGTGGGGCATAGGAAGTGGGTAATTGCAGCCGTGAAAGGGCTGCACGATTGCAGCCCTTTGATCCTGTAGCCCTTTCATGATGGGCTTCAGAATCAAAGGTCTGCAATCATTCAGCCCTTTCACAATAGGGCTGATATTATTTTGTTAAGAAGACCGTGTCTCACTGGTTGAGCATACCTTTGAGATGCAGAGAATGCAAAGTTAAGTTTAAAAAACAACAACAGTAATGCTGGAAGTTGTGAAAAAAACTTATGTCTGAGACCCCTGAGAGTCACTGCCACTCAGATTAGTGTAGCTGGGCAAACAGTCTGCCTGAGACCCACTGACAATCAGATTAGTGTAGCTGGGCAAACAGTCTGTCCTAGTATCAAACAGCTTCCCATGCTGTGCTCTTTTCCAGATGGACTGCTCCCTGAAGTCCTGCATGAAGTGGAGTTGCCCATCTTAGACCAGAATGAGTGTTCTAGAGTCCTGTCGACCTTAAAGAAACCTATTCGAGGTGACACTGTCATGTGTGCTGGGTTCCCAGACGGAGGAAAGGATGCTTGCCAGGTTGGTTGGTTGAATAGATGGTTGTCGCATTGCGATAAGGAGCAGTCTCACCATAGTTGAGACTGGACAGAGCAAGTTCATTAAGTTGCCTAGGCAGCGGTTTGGACATTCTCCCCCAGCAACCCCAAAGCTACTGACATATTTATTTATTTGACTTTTACATTGCCCATATTAAGTTGCCTAGACAGAGGTTTGGACATTCTCCCTCAGCAACCCCAAAGCTACTGACATAGTTATTTATTTATTTGACTTTTACATTGCCCATCTGGCTGGAAAGGCACTCATCTCATGAGGGTCTGAGAATTACTTGACACATCCAAAGAGATAGGTCTTAAGACCTTTGTTTTGTTTTGTTTTAGCAGCTCTATCATCTCATGAGAGTCTGAGAATTACCTGATACATCCAAAGACGTTTGTTTTGTTTTGTTTTAGCAGCTCTATCAATCTCTCTGGGATCTCATTCCCAAAGCATTCTAATATTCCACTCAGAGCTTGGAATGTTATTTTTCAAAAAGGAATTAGTTGCATTACTCACTAGTTAGGAGAATCCAGGTGCCCGTTATCATTGCTCTGTTTACAAAAAGCACTGTGTTTCAGCTCTTTCCATATGTAACAGACAAAACAAAACAAAATTAAAAATATCTTGCATTGTGGGCTTTTGTGGGTAACGATCCACTTCCTTAGAAACACAGAGTAAGAGATTTGTGCCATACATTTATGTAGAGAGTGGACATAGTTGTGGGTCGTGGTGGAGTGGGGAACAAAATCCATTTCCCTTTCTCTTTAGTCCCCCTTCAACCACATTCACTCTATGGAGAAACCTGTGTCCTAAACATTGTAGTCCTTGTCTCTAAGAAAGTGGACGGCAGCCCACAAATGCTGACACTGAAACCTGTTAAAGGCGCCACCCAATATTTAAATTTTTTGTCTCGTTTCATGTGCAGTTTTCAGGGATCATGAAATAAATACTTCCATGTAGCTATGTATTATGCATCTTCATCCAGAAAGACATGTTTTAGAATGTTTCTTTCCCTTGCAGGGAGATTCTGGGGGCTCCCTTGTGTGCAGGCGTGAGCATGGTTCTTGGACCCTGGTTGGGGTGACCTCATGGGGCATAGGATGCGCTCGCAGCTGGATGCACAACTTGAAAAAAAAGTATGAAAGAAGAGGAACACCAGGGATTTTTACAGATCTTATTAAGGTGCTCCCTTGGATTCAACAACATATGGACACCGGTAGTAACAACGTCCCACAAGTATAATACTTATGGCAATATGAATAGCTTTCTTCTTAAATAGGGTTTCTGATCTTTTCTCCTTCTCTCATAAGACTGCACACCAGCCTGAAAAACAACAACAGAAGTTAGCCTATTTACATTTGAAACTTTCCTAGATAGTTGATGAGCAAGTGATTTTATTTAAGCATTTCTTGTTTTTTTTCCTCAAGGGTATATACACTACGTGCATATACAGGTGGGAAAGGGAAAGGTCAGCTCAGGGTAAAGGTTGTGTAAAAGCTGAAATGGCTACCAGCTCCCACCTCTAGTTGGCTCTTGCTTGGTCCAAGACTGGCTGAGCATTTTGAGACAGAGGTGTGGACGAGGGTTTTTGAATCTGGTGAATAAAGAGATCAATATAGTTGAGGATTGTGGCATCTGGACTGGGCTAATTGATGGATAAATTTATTGCACATACTGGCTGAAAATCCTGTTGCACAGTTATGCAAATGGTCTAATGTTTGTAAGAAAATAATCTTAAGTTAAGAAATCCCCATAGGCATTATCTGTTACACAATGAGTTGCATACAACAAATCATGTCTATGGAGAGTTCTTGACCCACACCAAAAGTTACTGTTTGTGTAACTGTACAACATGATTTCAGCCACTTTAGCACTTTGCAGTGGTGAAAATTCTACTTATAAGCGTTTTTATTTATTTATTTATTTGTTTGTTTGTTTGTTTGTTTGTTTGTTTATATATATATCCCGCCCAACTGGTATATTCTACCACTCTTTTAGTTGTTTTAGTGCTACTATTAACTTGATCACCTATAGCATTTCTTTAAAAATGGCTTCAGACTCAAATAAAATTATTCATATTTTGTTGTTGCAAATTCATTACTAAATTTCTGATTTGCTGTAGTCTCAATTGTCTCTTACTATAACATTTCTCTTCCTTTTTGAATCAGATGTTAAAATGAAAAGTTCTACAGGTGAGTCTAATGACTTTTAAATCTCTTTCTGAACTGAGTTGTTAAAAAAACAACCCAATTAAATTTATTCATCATAGAAAAACAGAGATTGCAAATTATAATAATTACAATTGCACAATTTTATTATCATTTGCACTGCCATTAGTGAAATCAGGATGATGGAAACGTATGGATTACAAATGAGAATGTTCACAATGTTACTGATGCCTAGTTTTGTTGGCATTCAATTTGCAATCAGAGACAAGATTTTTAAATATCTGAATGTAAACAGTTCTATAATTTAAACTAGTTTTGCAGTCCAAACAGATTTTTTTAAGAATCAGCAAAATTACAAATAGTTCCTCCTTGGTTTGTTTAGGGGAAAATAGTGTAACTCTGCAAACGATGCAGCAGAAATAGAAATTTGCGTTTCATGAATGAAAATATAGTTGAAGAACAAATAAGTGCATTTTGTTGTTTTGGTTCTACACACAACTAGGAAAAATCCTTTTCCTTTTCCTTTTGGAACTAATGCTCCAGAATTCTGAGAAAGTGATTTGGAAATTCTGGTTATTTCTAGGCCAAATCAACATTTTGAACGTTGGTTCACTTGGAGCTGAATATGATACAGCTCTGTGCCACCATGTGTGTAGGACTCTGAAGTCTGTATAGTGTCATAGTTCATTTGTCACAAATTGGTGCCACATGCTGAGGGACCTGGATAGTTAGCTGCCTTTTACATTCATTCAAACATAAAGTTTGGGGTGCAGATAGCCCACTAAGGCATGGATTTACTTCATTTATTTCAAAAGTTGGGTGAACAGGAGCACCTAGTTTTGGGATCAGCATTTTTGGCAGTACAAAAAAAGTAAACATTGGTTTTCAGACAAATAGAAAGTGTGCCCCTTCTTGGAGAACCACACTAGTTCAAAATACTAGGTTTCTTTTTAAGGGATCCCAGGCAACCCTTTGCAATGAGTGAAAGAGAAGGGCTCTAGGCCTATGAAAAGCCCCATGTTCAAGTAGGGCTAGGAAAAAAACTTTGTTTCAAATCCTGTTTTGAATAAAGATGTTCTCAATTAAAAGTTATGTTTCTAAACCCATTTCCTTATCTCAAGTACTGCAGAACTGCTATTGTCTCTCTCTTTTTGGCAATATGCTTTTCATTTTTTCATATTAAACACTGTGGAAAAGACTTATTTGAAATGTAAAGAAGTGTTGTTGTGTTGTTTCTCTAGCTTCAGTTATACATCATCATTATTTGCTGTTATTTTCTTTGTTGTTAAAAAAGAAAAGAAAAAAGAACAACATCATTATCTCATAACAAAAACGTGTTGAAGAATTCTGCCAATGTAGCCAGGTTGTTTGCTTGATATATGTTACATCAATATGTGTTATCCTGTAAGCACCATATTTTGTATTCACAATATAGCATCCTGCAGTGTTCAGGATGGAAAACTCCCTGACAATGAAGGAAGGCTCCTTTTCCCTGGATATCCCACACATTTTTATCAGGCCAACCAGTGAGTAGATGAAATACAAACCCTTGCTTATTCATTTGTTCTCTATTGGTTTGAATCTAGTGGCCCTAAATTCCTGAAAACAACCCGAAGCAATTGTCTACAGTGGCAGGGCTTCATGTAGAAACTAACTGGTGGAATGTCTCCAAAATAACCACTGGAAGAATACAGTAGTGGATAAATGAACATTATAGATCCATGCAGGCATTCAGTCGGTACATTCAATAGGCACAAAGAAAAAGAGGGCAAAGCAGGGCACATAAGCCTCCCTGAGTTCCCGGCTGGACACGAATGTGTCTTGAAAGACTTTAGTAGATCCAGCAGTAAGGACTTCAAGATGCTGAGGAAAGTACATTTGGCCTAGAGTTTGAAAAAGGCTACTTCTTTGGACTGTCACTCCCAGAATTCTGTGGCCACAGTTGTAACTTCCAAGCTTGGATTTGGCTACGTGTGTGTGTGTGTGTGTGTGTGTGTGTGTGTGTGTGTGTGTGTGAGTGAGTGAGTGAAAGCAGTAATTATCTATCTATCTGTCTGTCTGTCTGTCTGTCTTTTAATCTTTCACTAGATAGTGAACTTCTCCATAGGCTGGTTGTTCCATGAGCATATATATGAAATATTAAAGAGTTATAACCACTGAGTTTCTTCAGTGATCCCTTTGTATTGGCAATGCCTATTCTTCTTCTAGGCACCTGTTTTATTAACTTTGTTTCACTAGACAAAAAAAATGTAGGGGTGCAAGGGAAATATAAAATTTCCAAATTCTACCCAGAATTGTGTTTGTACTCTGTTAATTCATTTCAACTGGAATTCACTCCCTATATGTCAACCCAGGCTGTGTGTTTGGACCCTCCGTGTCCCCGAAGGAATGCATATACTGCTGAATTTTTCTCATTTTGATGTGGAGCCAGATGCATTCTGTGACTATGATGCCTTGTCCGTGATTTCGACGAATGACAGGCTCATTGGTATGTTCATGATGTACTAATGACAGGCTGCTGGCTCTGTCCCCAGTTAAAAGAACACCTTAGTGTTGATAAATCCCCCTCTGTTAAAAGGTTTGGTTATTGCTGGCAAGTTATGTATGGCATTCTTAACTATTTGTAATAGCAATACATCCTGCTACTGAGGTGAACAAAGTTGTGCCACCATTTTTTACCTCATTTTTTTTCGTTGTAGGAGAATTGTCCCAAAGATCACCCTAATTAATTCTCTAATGCAAAGACCATAAGTGGGCCATGATGACTACTGGTTTTGCACCCACGAACCATTTTAACCAACAGCCCAAGTGATTAGGCTGGGTTGCAAGGAAAAGATGACTGCTGTTAGCAGTGATTAAACTGCTGTACTGCAGCCAAAACTGTGCTCATGACCCGGGGTTCAATCCCAGGTAGCCGGCTCAAGGTTGACTCAGCCTTCTATCCTTCTNNAAAAAAAGGGGGCCCCGGCTTGGGGGGGGGGGGGGGGATGTGTAGCCTGCATAATTAACTTGTAAACCACCCAGAGAGGGCTTGAAGCGCTATGGGGCGGTATATAAGCAGCACGCTTTGCTTTTGCTTTTGCTGAGGTGGCAATTAATAACAGGATTCCTGGGATGGCAGAGTTTTTAGGGGCACATTAAGTTCTTGGCCTAACCTTATCTGCAATTAGTGAGTGAATAGTCATTAAAAGGTATTTAAGCTTTAAACATCTTTCACTTTGAGTTCCTCAAAGGATATTTAAAGCAGTAATATCTGGAAAAGGTGTAGAAAGTAGAGGCTGAAATTTTAGCATCAACATTTTCCATATCTGTATATTTTATTGTTCTTGTATAAAGCATTTCCTCTGCTTTATTCTGTGGCTTACTTCTAATCAGACTTGTATAAAATAGAGCTTTGTTTTATCTGAAAATTGTTGCAGTGGGTCTTACTTCTGAACAGATCTGCACATACAATTAAATTCTGCTTTGTATGCTAGGAAGTGTCCAAATTCATAAGAAATATATTTGTGCATGTGTGCATATGAAGCTGTCCCTCTAGCCCTATTCAGGTGTTCTGAATTTTAGGTGACAAGAGAGAGAGAGAGAGAGAGACAAAAGAATTAAGCAACTGGTTGTTGTGGGTTTTTCGGGCTCTCTGGCCATGTTCTGAAGGGTGTTCTTCCTGATGTTTTGCCAGTCTCTGTGGCTGGCATCTTCGGAGGACAGAACAACCTTCAGAACATGGCCAAAGAGTCCGAAAAACCCACAACAACCATTAGATCCCGGCTGTGAAAGCCTTCGCGAATACAATTAAGCAACTCTTTGTTCCCCATCTGTTCTGTTCAAACATACGACCAGAAGTGCTGACGTTATGGGGAAGCTGAAAGTCAGTAACATAGAAGAAGTTGGTATCATCCTGAAATGGTGCTTCCTTCTTTGTTTTCAGAGTCTTTTCTTCTGGAAGTACAGGAACTAACCAGGAATGAGAGATTTTAGATTTTCAGGAACCTCCTTAAAAGGCTAAGATCCTCTCCTAATGAATGCAGGTGAATTATAGGCACATATAATGGAGCACATATTATGATTTCTTCCCAAATCTTGCAATGGTTGAACAACATAAACACCACATGACACACACTTGGCTATACATCACCCTGAAGGCTGTAATGCTAAACACACCTATTCAGAAGCAGTTTTTAAAATTATACCAATTGAATTATTCTTGAGTAAATAAAATTATATTTGTAACACAAATATACATAAATGTTCTCATCCAGGGAAATTCTGTGGGATGGATCCCCCATTACCCATTTTGGTTGGCTCCAACAGTGTGAGGCTAAAATTTGTTTCTGATAACAAGGAACATGGAACAGGATTTTCCATGATGTATCAAGCTATTAAGCCAGCTAGTCTTCTAGGTGAGTATCAATACACTATGTCAATGCATAGGAAGCAAATTAAGCTTGTTTTATTTATCTTTGCCTATCTGTATTTATTATAAATTTGTTGCATGCTGAAATTGCCCAAGTTCCTGGGTGGTGTTCAAGATTATAAACATAAAAATCAATGAACAATCAAGCAAATCACCTCAATGAGTCCAACAGCAGCACGTAAACCAACCAACCAACCAACCAGAAATAATGCCACCAGGTCCTTACCCCAAATTCCTAAAATGCCTGGGAAAACTATTAGAAAACTATTGATGCAAAAACCTGTAGATTGTTAGCATCACATGAACCTCAAATCAGTTTGACATAGTGTATGACAGACTTCCCTGCATGGCCAGCTTCAAATATTTTGGATTACATATTTCACGAATCCGTACTATTTAGACATTATGGAAAGTTTACTTTACCATATCTATAGAACACCATGTTGTAGAGATTCTACATTTATGGAGTTCACAAGGAATGGTGGTAGCATAACTAGCAGAGACACTTTACTACTGTGTTTCCCCGAAAATGAAGTCATGGTCATATTACTTTTTGCTCTAAAAATGCATTAGGGCTTATTTTCAGGGGATGTTTTATTTTTTTTCATGTACAACGATGTACATTTATTCAAATACAGTCATGTCATTTTCTTCTGGTTGCTACACAATGGTGGATGGTGGGGATTTCACTTCACTGGGTCTTATTTTTGGAGTAGGGCTTATATTATGAGCATCCTGAAAAATCATACTAGGGGTTATTTTCAGGTTAAGTCTTATTTTTGAGAAAACAGGGTATATAAAGACAAGAGCTGTTATAATTATTCAGTATGTTTCTGTCCCGTATCAGGCACTACTCTTGAAAATGCTGTACAGAAGAGTGTTCAGGTGACCTGAGTAATTGTATGGTTATAAGTTTTACAAATACTTGACCCATAAGAGAACTTTGTGAGTTTAGATCTGGCAGCTGCTTACAAAGTTTGAAATTTGCTTTGTTTCTAGATTCTGGCTGCAATTCCTTGGCCGTCCTCTTTGAAGAAGGAACACTGCAAAGCATGCACTATCCTGAGGCATACAGTAACCTGGCAGATTGCCAATGGATTGTTCATGCTCCAGAAAACTATGTGGTCAAGGTACAGGACACGGAAGATTTAATGACATTCTGTACAAAAAGTTTTCTTTGAGTAAAATAAATATCTAATTCATTTGGATCACAGGCAGCATAAAATTCTATTGTTAAACTGCTTTATTCTTGCTGATGCATACTTTTTTCAGGGGGTTGCTGTACCGTATGAGCAGACCAGGCTACCATGAGTAGCGCCATATCATGTAGTCCAGCTCTAGATGCCATGCACATAGTAAACTGTTGTGTGATCTGTTGTCTGTACATATGTACAGATATCTGCAAAGGGGAGTCTATGCATGTTCCTGTGATTCAGAATTGTGGCTTATCCGTGTTCTGAATCATCTAGAAGCCTTCACCTACATGACTGTGTGGACGAAAGCCGCCTCCCCTGCAGTGATATGTGGGGTTGAGGCGGTTCACATCCAATGGCTCTTAACTGTTAGAGTAGTACAATGATGGAACCAATTACCTCTGGAGGTGGTGACTACTTTAACGCTGGAGGAGAATGTTAGAGAACCATACGTCAGATCTACTTTGATTTGGATTCCTGCACTGTGCAGGGTTTTTGACTTGACAGTATTCTATGCTTCTATGAAACCCTGTTGCTGATAATGTCACCAGCTGGGGTTATTTTTTTGAAATAAAAATTTCCTAAACCCTTCTCCCAAAGGTCCTGAGGCTCCCATGGGATTCCTTTCATCATCGGCAAGCTGTTGGCGACTGCATGGGGGGGTCATTAATTTAAGACCCCTACATCCCAAAGCCTCCAATGGCTTCCCCAGAATTAATGGTCTGCATGGGGGGGGGGTCATTAATTTCAAGAATCAATGTTGCCGGTAGAATCATTTTGGTGGTGGAAATTTTCAGAAATTTAAGACCCCTACATCCCAGAGCCTCCAATGGCTTCCCCAGAATTAATGGAGTCTTGAGATCTGGGGAGCGGAGAGAGAATCAGAAAATTCTGATTTCCGAAAAAGAGTCACTGCTGGTGATATCATCAGCCTTATTGACATCATCAGCCTTATACTGTGTAACTTCTGGCAATATGATTTTAGCCAATGTTTTTGTAAATTTCAATTTTCTTTTGACATTTGGGGACCTAAATTTGGGGGTCATGTACAAAACAACTTTCTTGTTTTGTAATACCATTTACTGATATATGTTAATAAGAAAAAAAATCTTATTTAAAACAGAGCTCCTACTGTATGTTTTAATTGGACTTGTGCTTTTGCTGTTTCATTTTTCTGAAGCTTGCATATGAATATTTTGAACTGGAAGAAAATGAGGGCTGTGCTTATGATTCGGTGACGGTCTATGAAAATGTAGCCAAGGAGAACGAAATAGGTCTGTCTCTTAAAGATATTTCTTGAATTGTGCAGTGATTCATGCATCATGTTTGTTCTGTTTGTTTCTTTTCTGTCATCAAAGAAAACACTGCTAATAGAATCAAACCCTAAAGTTTGATTCTAAACCCTACAGAAGTGAGTCTCACCAGTTGAAAGGTGCTAAGGAAGGGGTGCTTACTCATGCCCACAAAAAATTGCTTCTTAGAATCAGCTTGTGTGATTTTTGCACCAGTGGCAGCTGATGTCCTTTGTGATTGATGGGACAGAAGACACAGCACGGATAGGCAGAATTGAGGGTGACCACCAGAGCTGGAGCAAAAATGGTTATTCATTCAGATGTACCTACAGGCAGGCAAGCATTCACAGATACAGCTAGCAGGAGGTGAACTCAGTGCAAAGTCTCCATTTTTAGAAAGAAGGTATGCAGGAGTGGGCTGGCTATGCATAACCGGTTGCTGACTTGTCACAATGCTCTGCTTGCCTTAGTGACCTGCTGCCCTTTCCGTATACAGACCTAGTTCATACAAGTAGTTTAGCACCTGTATTTTAAGTGACTCTTTAAATAGGTAAAGCTTCTTGCATGTAATTTTAATCACTGCTTAGTTAATCATGTATTTCAAGTCTCCTTTAAACAACTGAATTCATGGAAAAGGAGCTTCTGTGATGTTTACGAACACCAACAAGAAAAACTACAGCACAGCTCTGGATACTGCCTGCTACACCTTTCCCAGTCCATAAATTCTTGTAATTTTTATTAAAAACAACAAGCATTTAAAGCACCTTTGGAGATCTCACTACAGTGTTTGTTGATGCAACAGAGCTGCTTCTTTCAACTGCAGAACATTGTCTCTCCTTAGCTCGATCGTGTGGCTTTGCTATCCCAGCACCAGTTCTGAGTTCCTCTAGTTCCATGCTAGTTGTATTTCATTCAGATGAAACTGAGACCTTCGGTGGATTCAAGGCCAGATTTTCATTCATCCCTGTTTCAGGTATACTACTACTACTACTACTACTACTACTACTACTACTACTACTACTACTACTACTACTAATAATAATAATAATAATAATAATAATAATACTAATAAT